TAAACCCATCCTTTACCCTCATGCCCCCAGTATGTCTCCTCTCCTATTTTCAAGGCTTGTTACCTTTCCCTGAGTATTTTCCCGTAACTATATTCTCATTATCTCATGTTTTCCTTTTCATTCATGAGCCTGCTATTGTGTCTGCTCCGTTTTAAGTACTCTTAGTAGGAACTTTAAAGATCAATTTCAAAAGCCAGTTCCCAAACACAATATACGCATCAAAGCCCTCCCGATTTATTTAAAAATGCTCAGTATCATCAATAAATATTAGATCAGGTTGCAATTATTCACTGAAGACATAGAATATTGTTTCAAACAGAAATAATCATTCCTTTCCCTATAAATGAAGCCTTGCAACTCACTTAGAAGAAAGCCCCCCTTGCTTTTCTATTCAAAACAGAACCAGCAAAGCCAGGCCTACCTGTCCAAGCTGCCCCAAAGAGTAGAGGGTCAGTTTCTTTGGGTCTGTGTAGACAATCTCTCCAAGCTCACGATAAGGCTTCCCAAGGGGGGTGAAGAGTCCCTGAGTGAATTGCTGTTGCCTCCTACAGTAGTTTTCCCAAAACACTTGTTCTCTTGGAGGTTCACTGCTTCTGTAAATTGTTCTGCTTCTGGCCAAGACTTTTCCTTCCTTCTGATCAAAGCCAGGCAAAGCCTGAATGCACACAAAATCTCGAGGATTCAACACTTCAGTGGCTGCCACCACCTTGATTCTGCCGTTCTTCAGCTGATCTGGTACCTCAGGTGCCTTCGGTCTGCTGCTTTTACTTGGGTTTGGTACCACAGGTGCCTCGAGTTTGCTGTTCCCACCTGCATTTGCTACCACAGGTGCCTCAACTCTGGGGTCTTTAGATGCACCTGGTACTGGCATTGCTCCAGAATAGTGTTTTTACTCCCTAAGTTATGAAAAATTCTAGTTTCCCAGCTGTGAAAACACACTCCTGCTGCCCAAACCCTTTAATTTTCTAAAGGGTAGCCCAGCAGAAGAATCTGCCACTAACCAGCACCACATGAGATCTCATTCCCCTCAGCAGCCCCTCAACCAACAGAAACAAATCCTGAGGGGCCAGGAAACCTAAAACACCACCCGTCTCCTGGGTAACACCCAGAGCACCGCTCTCTGAAGGCTTTTGTCACAAAAAAAACTCCCTTTACACCTATTTCCAACCACAGCACA